AATCTTCATGCGTGAAACTTTGTGCTATTTCCAGTGATCACAACTGACATATTCATGTTAGGAAAGAGTGCAAGAATTTTCCGCGCAAGATTCCTTTAACCATGAGTCATCTCTTTGTTTCAGATAAAGGAGAACAGCGGGGAAGAGTTTTTCGTGGAGACCAAATATGACGGTGAACATGTGTTACTTCACAAAATTGCTTGTGATCAATACAAATGGTTCACGAGAAATGGCAAGGATTTCACTAAGGTTGGTTCCCAATCCATAGTTGAATCGAGATCATAGTCGGCGACTAAAATACGCGATTGAGTCGCGTAATTGGCACGATCGATACCGCTACTATTGCCGTGACCCGTAAGAATTCAATCTATGAATGTGAATTTAGCTCCAACAATTGCAAACATTTGATTGGCAATTTTTTCTCGTTTGTAGGACTATGGCGAATCGTCTTCACTGACTGATTTGGTGTCAGGACGAATTCATCCGTTGTTTCGATCATCGGTCAAAGACTGCGTACTGGATTGTGAATTAATGCTCTGGGATAAGAGATTGAAGAAACTATGTGGGTACAATTTTTTTCCGCTGAAATCGTCGCTATAGAAGAAAGCTTGATGGGTGCAGTCGGCGTATTGGGTGTGGTCACTGATCACGTTCGAGCCGCGCATGTGCTCTCAGTAAGGTCCAGTCGGGTTATTGAATGCTGTGAAATAAATCACTTTTGAAAATCACGAGAATAGCTGCTGGCATGTGATAATGGGATTTTACTTGTTATTCTCTAGCGAAAATTATTGAAAGCCCCGCCGGAAAGAGAGTTGCTTCATTTTCTGGACGAGCTGTACCGGAAAGTTCCTTTTGGTGGGCATTGTGGAAGTTACCTTCTTTTGGCTTGGGACGGTGAAAGCGATTCTTAGACCAATTTTTGCTAAAAGGATTGGTGAAGTCACGTGGATCAATGCGCCATTCTCATGGATGGCTCCTCCTTTCCAAATGACGTAAGGGAGGATGCTATGGTTTGGGTACCCGATAGATGGCCCGTTGCACTGGTAGAAGGCGCAGACGCAGACGAGACGGCGGACGAGTCACAGCTTGTGCTGTTGAGATGGAACGTGCTTACAATACGTTCTGTCTGACTTGAACATCGCTAAAGTGCGCGCTGCGGCTGGTCCGCTGGCCCATCTGCGTCCCTGTCTTTTCGCCGCGCGACGGGCCTCCTGTCGGTTACCCCGATGGTCGACCATAAATGGCCACTCTTATATGATGAGAGAAAAGTGCACCTTCGAATGGTGTGATGCTCCTGCCATATAGCTAATTATTTCAGTACCACGAGCCCATGTGAAATTTTTCTAGGAGTGGGAATTTTTTCACAGTGTGTGCCCTATTTTCTCTTGTTTCAGGTCGACGACAGTTCAAATCGCAGAACTCTGAATACAGAAGCCATTCTTTTCGCCATATTGATCCGAGTGATCACGTTCAATTGGGTAAGGTAATGATATGTGAACACTTGAAAAGGAAGGGCATCACGTTTTCATAGTTCATCAGTGCGACTAAACGATGTGGCGGTGCTACCGCACGCGTCTAAGCTTGAAAATTGCTTTTCCTCATGGTCGACGACAGAATTATCCGCAACACTATCGTCTTAGCATTGAGGACCATTTTATTTGAGCTTTCATGCTCGTATTGATTTTTTTCCACTGTCTTCTTTGTCTTTCAGCAGTTGTTGTGTTCGATATGCTTGTATTTGAATGGCAAGTCGATAATGAATGCACCACTCTATCAGCGTCTTCGAGCACTCGATGCTGCTCTTTTGAAAGACAATCACAGTCATATCGATACGATATCGATCGCACCGCGAAAGACTGTCACTACGAAGTAAGTTCCATTAGATGACGTGGTTACTGTAACCGTTACCAGGTGCAGCCAAGTTGTGATTACTGTGGGGCTATGTTCAGTAGAGATAGCATTTTCACTACAGTTAACTATTGGGCAGGGATAGCAGTCAAATAGGTGTGCACGTGGAAGATCAATGCCGACAGGACGACGGGGAGGAGAATGGCATGGAAAATGGCCGTCTTTTGTTGCGCATTACAGGGGGGGGGGGGGCAGCAAAAAAAGTCACTTTGCCTATGCGGCATATCATCGAATTTGTCCCACGCGGACTCGCCGCTTTTTATTGAGTTATATGGCAAATTATTCCTAAGATGTCCCCCCCCCCCCATAAGCAGAATCAGGCCCACCTTCGCTGCGCTTCACCGTCTCCAGAATATGACGTCATCTGTCATCACCGTCGAGCTTAAGGAGGCCTACAATAATCGCTCCATTCTGAAGCTGCTACATAAATTCTTCAATCGGATAACTGGTGAATGACTTCTTAGAGACACTAGCTCTGACTATGCAAAATGGCTTTTGACCAGCGTTTCAGAGACGTCGTAATCATCTATGGTTTCTCGACGACCCCGTTGAGCTCGTACCGCGAACCATGTTTCCGTGGGAAAATCTTCTGGTGTCGTCGGTTTAGAAGGCCACTATGCAATGTTTTTGATAGAATAGAATGTGCTCTTCAATATGCAATTGAGCTCATTCGGTTTGGTTTTGGCAAAGTGTAATTAATTCTGTTTTGAATGTGAGTAGGAGTGACTTTTTTTTGCCCCCCCCCCTGTATACTAGGTGGCGGGGCGGACACGCAGCGCAGTTAGTCGTCCGAGCAACAGTATCCATTTCTTGCCGGGCCGCTGAGACTGCGTAAACTCATTATTGTGTGTGAGGCGATCATAACGCTTAAGAATCTTCCACGAAAAAGCTCCGCCCTCATTACCACAGAAACGATACCTTAAAGGAATCTTCCACGGAAAGAGTGATCATTTTGTCTGCGTGTAGGATTAGTATTATCGAAACCAACGCTTATGCTCCGTTCTTTTTGCTATGCTCATGAGGCTAGGCTACATGTATGTTTCTGTGGTAAATGGAGCGAGCTTTTCGCCCCGTGGTAGAATTCTCTTTGGAAGCCTTTGTTTGTAGTTTCAAGCGCCCGGTGCTCAGTCCTTAGCAACTAGTCGTTGAAAACTTATTTGTGTCAAATCTTCAGCCTTCATTGCACGCGAGATGCGAAATGTCATCCTCGTAGGACTTAGAAAGACTCGAAGCAAGCCAAATCTCGACACGGCACGATTTGAATGGTGCGTGTTTTTCGAATCTCAAGTCATGAGTTTGGTGGTTTGTGCCGTTAAAAATATTAAAGGAATCTTGCGCGGAAAAATCATGATTCTATTTCAGCCATAAATCACTGGCTTGAGACTCATTATCCACGATAATAGTGAAAAGAACTGAAGTATTGCTTTCGTTTTGATTAGAAATTCGAAAACTCGAAAAGGCTGCTACGCGTTCGAATTGCCCACGGACGTCTTTCACGAATGCTGGCGACGGGGCTCAAACTTGGTTCTTGGAGTGCATTCACTAGAAGCTCTTTCTGGCCTTCTGCTTCGTTGCATTCACATCTTACACTTCTACTCCATCCTATTCCATCGATCGATTTGTCTCCACTCTCCGAAATCGCGCGCTTTAACCCGATTCTCTCATTGCGTCGCCTGGTACGTAGCCGGCCAAACGCCGTCTTCTTTCCATGCTCCTCGCCTGCTCTGAGCCTCCTGACCTCGATGGTCCAAAACGTTAACTTTTGTACCGGTTTGTTTTCTCTTCAGACCCGACTCTTCATGCCGTGAAACTTGTGGCTATCCGTCACACCCGACATATGCAGGCGAAAGATGCAAGTGCATTTCCGCGCACGATCCTTTAAGATCATGTTAGGCTAATCTTATCATGGCCCAAAAATGTAAAAAATGCTTTTTTAGAGCAGCTAAACAAGAAGAGAACCTAAGAGAAACTGTAAGAGAAACTTTTTTTTTTGAAGCACTATTTAGGAGCGCACTCTTCACGGTATTAGTATTTGTTTTGCTGTCTCATGGTGGTAGAACAGATGGGGTCACACTGATTTTTTCGGAGGCTTTTTTTGGTGACCAGCACCATATCTGGCTTATCGTAGGAGTTGTCCGTGGAACGCACGTTAACTTATTATGGCATTTTCAGAGAAGAAGTGGAAACGCTGTTCTCGACGGCCTTGGGAGCTGGAGAAGAGGGTATTGTTGTGAAAAGAAAAGATGTGCCATACCAACCTGGTACGAGGTCAGTTCATCGTCAAGGATATTGTTTTATCAGTGATTTTGCTGACAATGTCAAAACCCTAATGCTGCTCCAAAGCGTAAAGGCGTCCCTATCTCACATTCGTACTTATCATACATAACATGACTATGATGACTGGGAAGGATTGTATAACAGTAGTGATCAAAAACTCGCCGTATGCGTTTGCGGCCATTTGAGTGCTCTCTCTTAATAAAAGACCGAGAGATTGGAGACTTTTATCATCGAAGGTCTGTATCTTAAAGGCTCGGGTCGCGAAATTGGTTTGTTATTCTGTTTGAAAATCAGACAAGAATTGTGAATAGGAACGTCAATGGGGGGAAGGCAAAAAGCATCGTAACAGACGCCTGAATTTTGTCGTTGTGAGTCGAGCCATGATATCGAAGGAGGACAGGCCTATATTTAAGGATAATATGAGAGAGCACGTCGTACGCGAGGTAGTGTGGCGCCCCGATGCGCGATTAAAGAATCTTCCACGGACACTATGACCAGTGGGCGGGACCGAAGTTTTTGTGACGAAATGCATGGTAGGTACGGATCCACGTGTCGAACGCACGAACGTGAACAGGATTCACTTCAAACCTTCCCATGAACGTGGATCCGTACCTACCATGCATTTCGTCGCAAAACCACTTCCGGTCCCGCCCACTGGTCCATGGTCCGTGGAAGATTCCTAATAATTCGTATAGCGTATCGCACGTCAAGTAAACTCATTACTTCATTACTTGACATTTTCGCCATTACTTACGCCAACTTTCAACGATCGCTACAGTACAACCGTATCTGTCGATTTAGAGGTCCTGCAACCTCACGCAGGGAGGGAATTTCTATAAGGAAAGCACCTAATCGCGACCCGTGCCCTCAAGGATAAGGATTTAAAAGCGCTAAATGACATAGCAAATCAGCATTGAATTAAACTGTTCCTGTGAGGAAAATCACGTGCCCGAAAAAAAAACACAGTAGCGGTCAAGAGTGTTCACCGAGACGATTTTCGGTGCATTATTTATTATCGCTTGAGCAACGCCCTGCAAACGCTGATATACTATGTTTCTAGTGTTTTATATCCTCAAGTCCTTAAAGAATCAGGATATTCAAAAGAAAAAATTTTCGAGGTCACCATTGATTTTTTCTGGCAAAAAAAAGAGAAGCACGAAAAACCGTTTCGGCGAACACTTTTGACCGCTACTGTATTTATGCCGGCGAACAACTCCACAATTATTGCTACTGCAGCCTCTGAGCAACTGAGATGACCTCATAAATTATAGGATGACGAAGAACGGCTGGTTCAAGCTGAAGGCGTACCTGGGTGATAACGAAATGGACGTGGCCGTGGTAGCTATAGTGCCAGAAAAAGGCAAGGATGGTCAAATCGCCTACCAGCTGGCAGTACGTGATGGTAAGAGACGGTACCGCATTCTGTGACACAAAGTTTATGGAACTGGAGCACAATGCTCAGAGGTGCTGCACTTGTTTGCGTGCTTGATAGGAAAGGATTTCCTCCAGCGCCTATTCTTCTATGAACGAGTCTTACAGTTTCTCAGACCTGCTTATTAGTATTTACAATATTAACATGCAAGCGAAAAGCTGAATAAGTCAGTAACTGACTTCTGTGCTTCTCTCTACAACTGCGATTCACGCGGAAAGATTCTCAGTCTCAATAATGAAATGCTGTTTCAAGTCAGCGCGTAATACTTTCTATCCTGAGCACCATCTTTCTCTTTACGATTTCGCCTACTCATGCATCTTCAACGATGAAGATGTCCCCATGATTTACAAGAACGCTAGGCTATGGGTAAAACACTGCTCCCCTGATGGGAATGGAGCCCGCCTTCTGAAACGAGGTCGCTCAGAATTCTTGTAAAACTTTAGTAACAACGCGACATGTAGCATTAAAACAATTTAAATGAATCCAAAATCAGGCCGGAATTGATATCTTGATTTTTTATCGCCAACCACCTCTTGTTGAGTTATCGGGCATTGATGTAGGGTAAAGCTGTAGCCAAACTTTGCGACTACACTTCAGTTCAGTGTAGAGTAAATACGTATGATCGTGCTATTATAATTTCCGGTCGTGCCATTGTGCACTAGCCTGATCGATACACATCTTCTACACACTTGAACTGCAAAGTGCAAGCGTGACCGCTGACTAATATCGCTCGAGATGGGAGCAGTTGAAGCAAGAGCAGAGCAATGACTCTAAGGCCGATGTCATACTTTGCGAATCGAGCGATTCGCTAGCGAATCGCTGGATCCGAGCGTTGCGCCAGCGAATCGAACGTTGCGCCAGCGAATCAACCGATTGCGCCAGCGAGTCGAACGATGTAACGTTGGGTCCCGCCACTACGAGTCGCTGGTACCTAGTTCGACTAGCTGATACACTGTTCCATTCGCTGGTGCATCGGTTGATTCGCTGGCGCGCCGTTCGGATACAGCGATTCGCAAACCCTATGGATCGCCTAACTCGTCTCAATTAATCATACCTGTGTGTAATAAGTGATCTAGTCGGCCTAGTTTCGCTGAAATCGTCGCAATACTGTTCTCCTGTTCGAATAACTGCATTTTTCCTTCTTCAGAACAAAATTACTTATATGACACAAGCTCACCTTTCGCCTACTCACTCAACCCCTAAGAAACATTGTATCTAAGGTTAAAACAGGCAGCGGATGCAATAACGATCACCGATTCAAATGAAAAGTGAAGTGCATTTGGGCGCACTATCCCGCCCCCCTCCCCCCCCCCTCGCATATCGACCCGGGTTTGGGAACAACGAACACATAATCCCTCCTTGTCCCTTGATCACTGAGTTCAATATTCTATCAAGCTGTCTACGAATATCTACGAATACCCGTTTAGGCGATATTTATCGGACCATAACTACTTGTTCATCGGGCCTGAGCCGAGTGGATCGGGATTACATCTATAATTTGGCTTCGAGCGCTGAAGGACCACTTCTGAAGGTACCGCAATTTCTAGGCTTGACTTTCCGTCAGAAAGGCATTAATTTTGGATTCCATTGAAGTTTCTTCTTTCAAGGAAGCTCCTCCAGAATTACGCGGTTGGGCTATCGAAGGAAAAGGCGGGTTCATTCGAAGGGAGCATTGGCTGGTGAGTGTTGCTTAATTATTTACAAACCTTGGAAAGATTTGAGGTTTGTGAAATCGCAGTTCAATTAATCGCAGATTGAATTAGGAATCTGCTGGTTGGTCTGGGGTCAGGGCTGAACATTATTTACTCTGGTTGAGTCGTCAGTCTCTAGAAAGTTCAATTGTACCTCGGATACCAGAGTGTTCTGCTATCATTGTTAAGCACGATTGAATAATTTCTTATGTGACGTTTCTGCAATTACGGAGAATGCTCTCTACACTCTCCTTCACGGCACTGAAGAAGTGTACAAAAAAGTCTGTTCACACTATATACTCTTTCAATGCACAAATATCATGTCACCTGCCTTTAGGTTCAGGAAGCCTCTTTTGCCCTCCAGAGTTCGCAGTGCAATGAATTTGGCGGAACTTTCTAGTTCTTTCTGCTTAACATTCAACCGATTTTTGAGAAGGATGTTGAGTTTTAGGTTGTGGAAATGACGGCGGCCGGTGTTCGTGACGGTAAGTTCATCGATCCAGTGATGAAAAGAATTCGCCACGATAAAGACGTCGACGAAGTGGACACAATAGAGACATTTCGAGAATACGAGCAGGTTAGAAAATAGTGGTTGAAAGATGCTTGCTGAGGGACAGAAAGGGGGCTCGTGAAAGGTTGAGCATTGTTTTTAGCAGTTTTTTCTCTGTCAAAAAATTATGTGGAAGGGGAATAACAATATGTGTCGCTGGACTGCGGCCATCACAATGGCATTGAGTTGGTTAGGTGGAGCATTTTCTCGTCTCACACTGACTGGCACTTGATGGAGAAGTCAAACCAGGGTTTCGAAAGCAGTTCAGTCTGTAGTGGGGAAAATTGAAGAATTTCCAAATTTCCTGCTATTTCCTGTTTACAAGGTCGGGTAGCTGGCGTCCCTCGGTGAGAATACATATGAAAAAAGAACCGTTACCACTCATTACCATTGATTGCATGGCGTTCATACTGTTCCCCATTTGAGATGGCATATAAAAACTCAACATATATGCTCAGAAGGGGGTAAGTTCAATGACTTACCCATCTAGCCGTCAGTGATTTACCCATCAGTGACCAGATAAAGGATAAAGCATTTGCCGTTGATCAATCCCTTTTTGGGATGCGGCACGCATTCTACTTCCATTTGTACATTCGTAGTGGCGTTTGAATGCGATGTGGCCTATACAATGACTTGCGGGGGCCAGCCGATGTACAAGTCAGTGTTTTTCCTCCCAGACAAGTCTGGTACCAATTAACCGACCCCGGAGGGATGGAAGGCTTGGTTGGCCCGGGCGACTCACGACCCAGGATTTGATCCCCGGACCGCTCGCGTGGTAAGCGTGCCACTTGCCACTACACCACTTCCGCCCCTCAGTTTATCCAGTGACCAGATACCCATGGATAACCCATGGTCCCGCACCGCTTCGGTTCGCTGGTACCTAAAGTATTCCACGTGGCCACTGTTGAAAATGCTAGCCATTTGTGATTATCGACGTAAGGTCACATCGAACCTATTAATTCAGATCTTGTTGTCGAGTAAGCTTTCCGCGAAAAAGCCCAGCGAAGGAGAAAAAGAAAAGGGTCACGAAAAGGATGTTGGCAGAAGGAAGTGAGTTTGATTTCGAAAAAGCTTGAACAAGCAGTCGAGCCTATAGCTTCGCCTTAAACTCAAAAAAAACTGGCATCTACGATCTCGAGCTGAAGTCGAGCGATGCGCACCCAAAGCGATCGAGAGTCTATGACCATTTTATGATTTGTGATAGCATCTCTCCTCAAAAGAAATTTCCGAACTTCAGGTGCTGTCCCGGAGGTTGACGCGAAATGTGTGCGTACTGAATCGCCCCTAGCTGGACATACAGTATGTGTTCTGTTTGGGACCGATGAACGACTACGAAAGCGCCTCATGGAAATTTTGAAAAAGTTTGGAGCAAATGTCGTTGCGAATCCTGGCAAGTTGCTACCTCCTCAATACGAAGACTTCATTTCAAAGGCACGGGTCGCGATCAAATTGGTGTGCTATTGTTCACGCAAATTAGGCAAGTGCGAAAAACCTCTTGGAAAAAACGAAACATCAATAACTGAAGGTTCTTTTGTGAGGTCGACCGTGGTACAGCGAAGATGATAGCATTGCGAGGAGAGGGAAAACACAAGAGTGCACGTTGTATACGAGAGGGCGCAGACACCACTTGTCCTGCGATTAATAGAAATGGCAGCGGTTACAGCGGTCAAGCTCAAGGCCTTCGCTTGACCGCTGTAACCGCTGCCATTTCTATTTAATCGCAGGACAAGCGGTGTCTGCGCCCTCTCGTATACAACGTGCACTCTTGTGTTTCCCTTCCTCGCAATGCTATCATCTTCGCTGTACCACGGTCGACCTCACAAAAGAACCTTCAGTTGAGTTTCGCTTTTTCCCAAGAGGTTTTTTTCGCACTTGCCTAATTTGCGTGAACAATAGCACACCAATTTGATCGCGACCCGTGCCTTGAAATGAAGTCTTCGTATTGAGGAGGTGGCAACTTGCCAGGATTCGCAACGACATTTGCTCCAAACTTTTCAAAAATTTCCATGAGGCGCTTTCGTAGTCGTTCATCGGTCCCAAACAGAACACATACTGTATGTCCAGCTAGGGGCGATTCAGTACGCACACATTTCGCGTCAACCTCTCCGGGACAGCACCTGAAGTTCGGAAATTTCTTTTGAGGCCAGATGCATCACAGAATACATAAATGGTCATAGACTCTCGATCGCTTGGTTCGCATGCGACCTCGACTTCAGCTCGAGATCGTAGATGCAGTTTTTTTGAGTTAAGGCGAAGCTATAGGCTCGACTGCTTGTTCAAGCTTTTTGAAATCAAACTCACTTCCTTCTGCCAACATCCTTTTCGTGACCCTTTTCTTTTTCTCCTTCGCTGGGCTTTTCGCGGAAAGCTTACTCGACAACAAGATCTGAATTGATAGGTTCGATGGTATCGTTCTCGAATAATCACCTGGCTGCATTTCAAAAAGTGGCCACGTGGAATACTTTTAGGTACCAAAGAACCGAAGCGGTGCGGGACCACGTGTTATCCATGGGTATCTGGTCACTTGGAAAACTGGGCGGAAGTGGTGTAGTGACAAGTGGCGCTCACCACGCGAGCGGTCCGGGGATCAAATCCTGGGTCGTGAGTCGCCCGGGCCAACCAAGCCTTCCATCCCTCCGGGGTCGGTTAATTGGTACCAGACTTGTCTGGGAGGATAAAAACACTGACTTGTACATCGGCTGGCCCCCGCAAGTCATTGTATAGGCCACATCGCATTCAAATGCCACTGCGAATGTACAAATGGAAGTAGAATGCGTGCCGCATCCCAAAAAGGGATTATCAACGGCAAACTGTATCGCTTTCCTGTGGTCACTGATGGGTAAATCACTGACGGCTAGATGGGTAAGTCATTGAACTTACCCCCTTCTGAGCATATGTTGAGTTTTTATATGCCATCTCAAATGGGGAACAGTATGAACGGCATGCAATCAATGGTAATGAGTGGTAACGGTTTCTTTTTACGATATTAATTCTCAACCGATGGACATCCATGCCACCCGACGTTAATGTAAACAGGAAATAGCATGAAATTTGGAAATTCTCCAATTTTCCCCACTACAGACTGAACTGCTTTCGAAACCCTGGTTTGACTTCTCCATCAAGTGCCAGTCAGTGTGAGACGAGAAAATGCTCCACCTAACCAAACTCAAAAATGGCCCATTGTGATGGCCGCGTCCAGCGAAACACATTATTGTTATTCCCCTCCAATGATTTTTTGACCAGGAAAAAAAAAAACTAAAAAAGCTACATAAAAACGATGCTCAATCTTTCATGAGCCCCCTTTCCGTCCCTCAGCAGTATCTTTCAACCACTATTTTCTAACCTGCTCGTATTCTCGAAATGTCTCTATTGTGTCCACTTCGTCGACGTCTTTATCGTGGCGAATTCTTTTCATCACTGGATCGAATGAACTTACCGTCACGAACACCGGCCCCGTCATTTCCACAACCTAAAACATCTTCTCAAAATATCGGTTTGAAGTTAAGCAGGAAAGACTAAAAGTTCCGCAATTTCATTGCGTCTGACGAAAACGTGGAGAGCAAAAGAGGCTTCCTGAACCTAAAGGCAGGTGACATGATATTTGTGCATTGAAAGAGTATATAGTGTGAACAGACTCTTTTTGTACACTTCTTCAGCGCCGTGAAGGAGAGTGTAGAGAGCATTCGTCGTAATTGCAGAAACGTCACATAAGAAAGTATTACCATCGTCGCTTAAACAATGATAGTCAGAACGCTCTGGATCGCGAGTAGGCAATTAAACTTTCTAGAGACTGACGACTCAACCAGAGTAAATAATGTTCAGCCCTGACCCCAGACCAACCAGCAGATTCCTAATTCAATCTGCGATTAATAGAACTGCGATTTCACAAACCTTAAATCTTTCCAAGGTTTCTTAATAATTAAGCAACACTCACCAGCCAATGCTCCCTTCGAATGAACCCGCCTTTTCCTTCAATAGCCCAACCGCGTAATTCTGGAGGAGCTTCCTTGAAAGAAGAAACTTCAGTGGAATCCAAAATTAATGCCTTTCTGACGGAAAGTCAAGCCTAGAAATTGCGGTACCTTCAGAAGTGGTCCTTCAGCGCTCGAAGCCAAATTATAGATGTAGTCTCGATCCACTCGGCTCAGGCCTGATGAACAAGTAGTTATGGTCCGATAAATATCGCCTAAACGGGTATTCGTAAATATTCGTAGACAGCTTGATAGAATATTGAACTCAGTGATCAAGGGCAAGGAGGGATTGTGTTCGTTGTTCCAAAACAAGGGTCGATATGCGCCATGCACTTCACTTCCATTCAAAATCGTGATCGTTATTGGACTCCACTGCCTGTTTGACCTATACAATGTTTTCTAGGGGTGAGGAGGAGTGGGCGAAGGTGAGCTTGTGTCCTGAATAATTTTTATTTTCTTGAAGAGGAACAATGCAGTTATTCGACCAGAGAACAATTGGTCGATTTCAGCGAAACTAGGCCGAATATTAATCTCTGAGCTATTTATGCGGTAATGGTGGTGTTAGGTCACTAGATCACTTTCCACCAGTTATGATAATGGGCAGAGTTAGGTCGATGCCATAAAAGTTTTCGAATCGCTGTATCCGAACGGCGCGCCAGCGAATCAACCGATGCACCAGCGAATGGAACAGTGTATCAGCTAGTCGAACTAGGTACCAGCGACTCAATAGTTGGCGCGGACCCAACGTACATCGTTCGACTCGCTGGCGCAAAGTTCGATTCGCTGGTGCAACGTTCGATTCGCTGGCGCAACGCTCGGATCCAGCGATTCGCTAGCGAATCGCTCGATTCGCAAACTATGACATCGGCCTTAGAGTCATTGCTCTGCTCTTGCTTCAACTGCTCCCATCTCGAGCGATATTAGTCAGCGGTCACGCTTGCACTTTGCAG